CTCAGATCTGGAAATAAGAAAGGCAAGGAACTCATGCGCATGAGAGAAGACAGCCAATTTACACAAAAGCAAAAACCACACGACTTTCACCCAAGCCACCAAGGCAGTAAGAGCAACTCTGTTTTCAGGGCGCATGAGACACAGGATGGACACTGAGGAGGGAACAGGCAAGGCTCTCCTTACGGCTCGGGGCTTTGAAAGTGCTTCTGAATAGGGGCATTTAAGGTAAGCCTCGGGAGCAGCCGAGTGATGCTGATGATAAACAGCCTGGATGGGCGCATCACCGTGTGTGCCCACTTCGTCCTGGCAGGCAAACCTGGCCCAGGAGATGATGAGCCTTGGCCCCCTGTGGAAGGCAGCCTTGGGGAGATGAGTGGACAGCACTCTGACCTTTTAGAAATGAACAGTTTGCAATGAGGTGAAGCAGAGTTATCTGTTTCTGCTCTCGAGTTAAGCAGCATGGAAATCTGAAGGAAAAAAAAAAGAGGCCGTGGGGTGACAACCCCTCAATCTTTACCACCAAAGAGAGGGAGAAATGAAATCACAGGTAAAATGATTACATCACAGTCATAATACAGTGGCCAACGTTATAAAGTGCTGTGAGCAAGGAGGACAGGAAACTGAGGGAGACTTTGGAGGAGTATTTGAGTCAGGTCTTAAAAGCTGCATAACAGGAGCTTTCTGGACAAAAGAGAAACCTGAAAATGTAAAGGCACAGAGGTTTGCAGGAAACAGAAAAGGGAGCCGCAGGAGAAGACAGGGCAGGAGAAGTGAGTTACAGCAGGCTTGGCCTTCTTGGGAAGAGGAAATCTATATCCATACATGTAACTCGTCACCTGGACAAACAGTTCTTAACAACCAGAAAATGTGCTTTGGATCATAAAAGAGGCAGAACCTGTTTTCAGGCGACTGACCCATTTGCAGAGATGAATATGAATCAAATGGTATGAACCAAAGCACAGGGTGCTCGCGGGCCTGGCACCTGGGGACTGCGGACAAGGACGCGCTTCCCCACGGGAGGAGAGCGGAAGGAGGCAGAGGGACGGGGAGGGCCGGCACCAGCTCGGGCACAGGCCCCCAGAGGAGTGCCAGAGAGGGGTCAAGGTTGCTGTGCTGCAGCACAAAAGAAGGAATGGGCGGCACGAGATGAGGCTGGAGAGGCGGTGACCTCAGAGTGCCGGCCTTCACCCTGGAGCCCAGGGGAAATCCTGGAGGGCTTTGTACGCAAGATGAGGCTGTAATGTGAAGGCCTTACCCTAACTCGAGTGCTGACCGCAGGGGGCGCATCAGCCGGTGCGGAGGCAGGGGCACCAGCAAGGGGGCTGCTGCCGGCGTCCAGTGTCCAGCGAGGCGGGGCCAAGGACTGGCCAGAGGCAGCAGAGAGGGGGCCAGCTAAGGTGGGGGCTACAGAAGGCATGCTCGGAGGTCATCTGTCCCCAGAAGCAGAAAGAAGGAAGATGGGCTGTCACGCTGAGGTGACTTTCCAATACTTCACACAGCTTTTCCACCCAAGAGTGAGCAGCACACTGTTGCATCAGCAGCCCCTGCCTCCCTCCAGCCATCAACCACACGACTAATCCCCGACAGGGAAGCCTGGCATTCATCCCACAAGTGCACTTCAGAGGCTCCAGAAGGCAAAAAGAGGTTTCGTGTTTGTAGTTGTATGCTAAATAAACCAAGTCAGAGGCAAATTACTTGCAATATATATATATATATATCACAAAGTATGAATATCCTTAATTAATGAGCTCTTACAAACCAATACAAGTATGAACATGAAACAGAAATATTAGGATTTCCCTGGTGGTGCAGTAGTTAAGAATCCTCACAATGCAGGGGACATGGGCTCTAGCCCTGGTTGGGGAACTAAGACCCCACATGCCAAGGAGCAACTAAGTCCAACTACTGAGCCCACACAGCACAACTAGAGTCTGTGCACCACCAGGAAAAACTGCACATGATGCAACGAAGACGTTTCATGCTGCAGCTGAGACCTGACACAGTCAAATAAATAAACAGACAAATATTATAAAGAAATTGAAGTGTGCAAATATCTAGATCATCAGGATGTCCACTGTACCACTGTTTACAACAGCAAAAGTAGTAGATTCAACCTAAAAGTCCCAATGACAAATTAGACTGTGGACACTTGATGGGACTTCTATGTAGTTATTAAAAATAGTGATGTGGACCTCAAGCGACTGAAACAAACCTTGAAAAATGGTAACAAAGTTGGAAGAGTCACATTTTTTAATTTCAAAACTTACTACAAAGCTATGGTAATCAAAGCAGTGTGGTACTGGCATAAAGACAGACATACAGACCAAAGGAATAGAAGAGAGAGCCCAGAAATAAAGTCTTATAACTGTGGTCAAATGATTTTCAATAATGATGCAAAGGCCACCCAGTGGGACAAAGGACAAGTTTTTCAACAAATGGCACTGGGAAAACTGGATAGTTAAAGAACAAAGTCAGATCCTGAACTTAAACCATATAAAAGATAAACTCAAAATGAATCAAAGGCCTAATTTAAGAGCAGTCTATAAAACTTTTAGAAGGAAAAAACAGGGGAAATCTCCATGACACTGAATCTAGCAATGATTTCATGGATGTGACATCAACTGGTTACATTAAAATTAAAAATGTTTTTGTGTCAAAGGATATTATAAAGATGGTGAAAAGGCTTTGCTTTCTCCATTTCTCTCAGAATGGGAGAAAATATTTGCAAATCATATCTGATAAGAGATTAATATGCACAAAATATAAAGAACTCCTACAACAACCTAATTAAAAAATGGGCCAACAGACGGTTCTCCAAAGATACACAAATAGTTAATAAATACATGTAAAGATGGTCAGTAGCACTAATTATTAAAGAAATGCAAACCAAAACGAGAATGTGACACCACTTCTTATCTATTAAGTTTTAAAAAATGGTGACACATGTGTTTTAAAGGACTTCTATAGGGGCTTCCCTGGTGGCTCAGTGCTAAAGCATCCACCCGCCAACGCAAGAGACACGGGTCCAACCCCTGCTCCAGGAGGATCCCACATGTCTCAGAGCAAGCACGCCCAGTACGCCACGCCTACCGAGCCCGTGTGTGTGCTGGAGCATGGGGCCCGCAGCTACTGAGCCCGCGTGCCCGGACCCCAGGCTCCGCAGTGGGAGAGGCTCCGCAGCGAGGCCTGCGCGGTGCTCCTGAGGGGAGCCCAGCGGCCACTAGGGGAAAACCCATACAACACCCGGGACTCGGCACAGCCAAAAGTGAATCAAGGATTTTTACATCACGTTAGGTGGAAAAATACAGGTTACAAAATTGTGTGTAGAGTAAGATCACCTTTCCGGTTTAAAGCAAACATCTTGCCCCCACGAGCCCAAGAAAGGCTTTGGGTTTCATCTTGAGGTCAGAACACCGTCAGTTCCCCGTCTGGGGGAGAGGCTGGGAGAGTGAGCAGTTAGCGCTTCCCTGAGGGGGAGAGGCGACCAGGGCAGGGGCCACCTGAGAACTGGTGCTGGCCAAGCCATGAGCACAGTGGAGCTGGGCTCTCAGAACTCTCCCTGATCCTTTTCCTTCTGTCTCAGTTACAAAGGGCCACTCACCACGTCTGGGGCAGCTTTTCCCAAGACTTCTACTGTTCCTAAGCAAAATGCCACAAAGCGTCATCTAATACAATAGTGTTTGGACTGAAAATTCTATTTGTTTGAGGCTCTGTGTTGAGTAAACTCTATCTGCCTCCTTACCAGCTGTACCCAAGTACACGGTGCAGACTGAGTCTTCCTTTAAAGGGGAGGACGTTAACCGTCCTTTCCCTAAAGAACTATTGCATTAGCATAATCTAGTTCACTGCAATGCAGTACTGACCTCTGAGGATTAACATGGGTTGACTCTATTTGTGCAACAGAGTGCCATGAAACACTTAAAAAGTTTAAAAAACACAGCGATGACAGAGTGGAGAGAACACTGGGCTGAGGGATAAGGCTCTGCCACTTGTCACCCAAGTCTTCCTCCATTGAAAGTGAAAAGGTCAAAGTGAAGTCGCTCAGTCATGTCCGACTCTTTGCAACCCCATGGACTGTAGCCTACCAGGCTCCTCCGTCCATGGGATTTTCCAGGCAAGAGTACTGGAGTGGGGTGCCATTTCCTTCTCCAGGACATCTTCCTGACCCAGGGATCGAACCCAGGTCTCCCGCACTGCAGGCAGACGCTTTACTGTCTGAGTCACCAGGGAAGCCCTTCATTGAACATATCCCCAAATCTCTGCATCAGGCATGGCCTAAGTGTCGGGGGTGAGGAGAGGGGAAGGGAAGATGCCAGATACAGGAGATGATCTTGGTCCTCAAGAAGATGAAATTTTATTCAGGCAACCCCCTTAACCTCACAATCCTCTGCTTCTTCACCCATAACTCAAAGATGTTACCATTCTCGGGGTAACAGGGTATTAGGGTAGGGGGTTGGGATATTCCAGCTTCAGTGCACTTGGCATTTGGGGGACACTGCCTGGTTGGGGGGAGCTGCCCTTTGCACTGTAGGATATTGAGTGGCATTCCTGGCCCCTACCCACCAGGGGCCAACAGCTCTCGACCATGGCTTCCACCCCAGTTATGGCAATCCAGACTGTCACAGACATTACCAAATGTCCCCTGGGACAGAACCACCCCCAGCTGAGAACCTCTGAGATAGTGACATATATGAAAGCATTTAGAAAAGCATAAAGTCCCAAATCAAGTATTACTTGTCAAAAAAAAATCCTTTAAAGAATTTATAGCTTCCTTAGGAATGTTGTGTTTTCTATTTTTATATATTTTGCCTACCATTAAAAGCCCTTTAGGGCTTTTTGGTTAATTTTCTTTACCCAAACAAAGCATCTTCATTAGGCTATATTTTTAAAATGTATCACTACACAAAAACACAACTCTGACTCTGACAGTCAGAGTCAAACATAATTGCCATCTCTACAAAGCAGAAATTTTATCCAAAATCAAAGTAGTTCATGCCTACCTTTTAAGGACAAGGGATTGGATCTTGTGAATTCTGTATCTGATGGCCTGTGCTGTTTACGAACTTGTAAGTACTCCTTCACTCTTGAATCAATGGTTTCTTTTAACAGTAAACAGACTTCCTAAAGTAAATAAAAAAATTACATATAATTATCTAATTTAATGCAGTGCAAAAAAGTCAGTATCATGCATATGAAAAAGCCAAAATCGAACATTTCATTTTGTTTGCTTTTTAATTTAGCTATGAATAAAGGCATTTACATGTGTTCATGGGTAATGCTGCAGATTTAAATTAGCCACTAAGCTTTGCTTGAAACCATGATGCTGGCTTACTCTGTGATCTAAGAAATATATTTTGCCTCTCTTCACTTCTCTCTGCCTCAATTTCATATTTCTAAAAGGAAGATAAAAACACCAATGTAAAAATCAGGGCAAGGAGGTGACAAAATCAGAGAGGTAAAGGCTGTTTTCATGTAAATTTCAACCAGTGGGATTACGACAAGTAGAAGACAGAGCAGAGCCAGCTCTGGCTACAAGCGGAAGCCCCAGAGACGGGCCCACTTGCCAGGGACTACAGACTGGGAGGAGTCAAAGAGTCAGGGCACAGTCAGAGGGAACCCCCAGACAGTCAGAAGGGGCAGCACCCTGAGGTTTCTCGCTGGGACACAAGGCACAGTGTCACCAGATTTTCTGGTTTAAGAGGAAATAGAGACAGTGATTTTTACACAAAAATTTCCTACTTTTAAAACTTGGTTCAAAAAAACTTTAGTATCTAACCACCATAATTCATTAGTTTCTAGGGTTTACAAATCTACTGAAAAGCAACAGCACTGATGGTAAGCTGAACAGAGAACTGGAAATCAAGAGTCTGATTTTCTTCCATAGGCTTACTGATGATATTGTATAAGCTTCTGTGAAAACTGCTCTCTATTCACCTATTCACAGTAAAAAATAATTTAACTTCTTATATTGCTCAAAAGTAAATTAATATTTATTAGGCAACAGAAAAACATGATTTTAATTGAATGTCAACATCCCAAATTTGTACTGTTTTTAACATATCAGTGTTACTTATAAAAAAGAAAAATAAAACTTAAAGCCTAACTGTACAATGGGATGACATTGCTCACATTAGCTATAATATCAGAAAAATGTAATCTGATGTGGGGGAAGGGAAAATAAAATTGCTCCCAAATCTAAATTTCTTAACCCAGATTGAGAACTGGTGTGTAAGGATGGATAATTCTGGTTCAGTTCCCAAGGACTCTGCAGAAGGTTCAGAGTTTCCAGGTCACCTCAAACCTGTTTCACTGGTTTCTCACAATGCCATCTCAGGTTGATCTCTTAGAATCTTCATAAATTAAAACGAGGACAGAGCTGTAAGCTGCATTGAAGGGCAACGAGAGCCAAGCTTTTCTTTGGTTGCAAATACACGTACTCCTCAAACAGTATAGAAAACAGTTGACTTAATTTACAAACATGAGTTTCTCAGTAAAATACAAACTCTGGTCTCCTCCTTCCTGATCTCATTTTGCATCCCAAAGATGCAGTGCCTTGTGGAATACAGAGGTATTCATTTACAGTTGAAGGTTTTGGCATTGTTTGTGCAACAGAAAGGCAGCCTTGCTCATACTGTTGTTTTAACAATTAAAGAATTTTGCTTCATATGCAGGGTTCAATGATGACTGAGCTAGAAAATATGTGAAAGACATACATGGAAACAAGGATTGTTAAAATTTGGCCATAAATGCCCTATAAGGCCAGAACTAAAAATAGGAGGACAAAAATAAAGCCAAGGCCCACATACACAAACTCTCTCCCTGCAGTTACGGGGTTTTCCTTCCATGAGTCAGGTTTGACAAACGGAAGGTGGATTGTGTGCGCTGTATCGAGGTCCCCTAGTCACTGACCACAGCACACTTGGCGAAGCACTGTTCTCTTCAGAACCAGGGCAAGACAAGGAAAGACAAATTCCCATTTAAACACGAGGGGCAGCAGGAAGACCAATCAGTGAGCAAGAGAGAGCTGTACCCGACATCTCCAGGCTACCAGGGGTTCACATGTGCCTCCCAGGTTTACAAGGGGAACAGTCCGAGTTCAACTGTTTGGGTACAAGGACCACTCAGGCTGGACTCAGAATAAACACATGTTTAACACATGTGATGAGTTCCTTTTTCTGAAAAGGAACAGGATATTCTTATGCCTTTCACTACTCAAAGTGACTGTTAAAATGCAATCACAATGATTGCTCATGAAATCCCAATCTTGAGATGATCTGATGATTTAAAAAAGATAAAAGTCCTGGGACACTAAACATAGGTTAAGTCATATCTTCAACTTGCTTTTCTCTTTTCTTAAACACACACACATTACCCCAGATCCATGTTAATGTCAGCGAGCATACTTTGAAGAGGCAGCGTGAGGTAGAGGCCACAGAGCGTCTCCTTGGCTTTGCGCGGAGAGCCCGCTCACGGCCCACAGCGGAGCCCTGCAGGCCCAGCGCGCGCAGAGTCCCTTCACTAAGGCACGCCCTGCGGCCCGACAGCGGCAGAGGCAGGGCAGCACAGCTGCGTGTGGCACCCTGGAAAAGTCTGGGCTCACGCTTTGGCTGGGAAGTGAGTCACATACTCACAGATTTGTTGTAAAGCCTTCCAAATCAACTGACTCTTGGCAAAACTGACAGCATATCCACACAAAAGGTCTAAAGCTGAGGCGGCAGAGTTGGGAGAGAATGGAGGAAAATCTGGGCCTGGAATGGTGGATTCTAGGATGTTGCTAATGTAAGTTAAACTTCTTGGGTGAGGTCCCCGCAGGTGCATATTGGTCACTCTGGGGGGATGAATTAACTGTTTTGAATCATGGGGACATATGTTGAGAAGCCAAAGGTTGGAATGACATGGAGGTGGACTGGAGGAGCAGGCAATGGCCTATCAAACATGAAGTCCTGCAGAGCATGGTCCAGGGCTATTTACCTGAATGATAATGTCAACATCTCATGCCACTAGCATGATAAATCCCATCACACAGAGCCCTGTGCCTTTCTGCTCCCTGTTTCAGGTCACTGGGTATCCTTAGCAAAATTAAGACAACAAAGTCCTAATAGTATTATCCTTTGACTGAAAATATATTACTTATAAATTTTCTTTTGGGAGATTTCTAGTTATCTTCAAAAGCTGACTGAAAACAGTTATCACAGTAAAGGGTAAAAAAGTGGCACTAAAAAGTACCACCATCACTAGATTTTTCTCCATATATCACCTTGTAATAAAATTTATTTCTAGCTCTAAAAAGCTATTGGGACCAACAAATATCATGGATGATACCAAGGGCTGTTACATTTGGAAAGTTATGTAAAAATCACAGGCTCACTATCCGGCTCGCTCATAAGGAGGGGTCTGGAGAAGGAAGCCATGCATGTGATGAGAGCTGGGGCACCTTCTTGCCTTTGCCATAGCAGCGCCTTGTGGGACCTCAGAAACTGAGAGCTGAGAGTGACTCAGCCAGCCAGGGTCTGGGAGAAGCCTTCATCCACAGAGGCGGCGGCTGCGGTCCAACACCACAATCCTGTCATCCAACCATTTGCTTTACTGACCTGCTTAGCGACTGGCCGCTGTAAGAGGAGGGCTGTTGGCAGCCATCCCGATACTTCTGCCAAAGGACCATGTGGTACAGAAGATCCCAGACAGGTGAGAGAAACCAGCCTGTGTCAGCCCCACTCCTGCTCCAGGGGCTGGGCCCATCCGTTACGACCAGTGAGGGTTACAATCCCTGCTTACCTGGAAAAGTCACTTTAACTTCTTCATTTTTTTTTTTAAATACAAAGAACCTTTCTCTTCAAACAAAGAGGTGGAGAATTTCTGGTTTAAATACTAGAATGGCAATTGAAATATATGAAATAGATGGATGTCTCAGTTTCTGAAGGAACAACAACAGAAAAAGCAGGCATATGTCTGTTGTGGGAAAGACAATTCTTCCTCAAGGATTAAATAGCACTCAAGATTTACTGTCCATTAATGAAAATGAGAGCTGGAAAAAAAGCTAATGTTCCTTTTAAGAGCAGCTCCTTACATTTAAAATAGCGAAAAGTTTTAAGGACCTACTGTATAGCACAGCAAACTAACTATATTCAATATCAAGTAATAATCTATAATGGAAAAAAATCTGAAAAGAATATACGTGTGTGTGTGTGTAACTGAATCACTTGTTGTACACCTGAAACATGGTAAATCAACGACATTTCAATTTAAAAAAATAATGAAAAGTTTCCTGGTACCTCTTTTTTCTGTTCAGAAAACCAGCTAGTATCTTTGCTTGAACCTTGCGGCAATACATGAAGATCCACCAGGACAGCAAAGTTCCCACACTGAAAGACATTAATGAAAGACTTAGCTCACACCCAGTGAACAATGAGAGAAAAGCTCACAAATTCCTACGTGGTTGCTCATGATGAAATGGCAGCAAAGTTCACTGCTGGACAGAGACGTTAATATGGGGTATGATAAAACTCATAACTTGTTGCTTTTTGCAATTTTAATATTTATTATAGAAATGCCAGAGAGAAATTTAATTTTAATTAGGACAGGAAAGAGAAAATACCTATCTCTGCACTGTAGCTTGATGGAGGATGCCCAGAAATTCAGCAGTAACACTGAGAAGGGTTAAAAAGGTCAGCGCCAGGTAGGCTGCAGAAAAGGAGTCCGGCAGACACACACAGGGAGATTCTTTTTTCCAGGTGGGAGAGAGCAGACAGAAGCAACTGCATTTTCAGGGCAACAAAAGGACTGGTCAGGACCATACATCTTGGAATAGAAACAGAAGCATAGACAGATGAAAACAAGCAAGGTAGATGCTGAATGACAGTATCAAAACTAAATGTTTCACTAAATTATGCCTCAAAACTGCATAAAACCAGTCTTTCTTTTTCTATAGGCTAGTGCTATCTAGTACTGTGGAAGAAATGAAAACATCTCTATCTGCACTGGTAAATAGGGAAGAAAATAGCCTCATGTGTTAATGAGCATTTGAAATGTGGCTTTTGAGACTGAGAAGCTGAATTTTTAATTTTACCTAATTTCAATCTAATATAAAAAGCCACAGAGCCAGAAGCTCTCTGGCATGGCTACAGATCCTGTAAAAAGATGTAGCTTCATAAAACCTCACACTATGTGAATAAAGTAACTTGAGAATCTCAAGATAAATGGATGAACTAAACTAACTTAGAAAAGTATTGTTGATTGGTTTATGGCCAGCAGGAGAATTCAATTTTGTAGCCCTTTGGCAAAACAGGTTTTTTTTTTTTTTTAATTCTGTGTTATAATTCAATGGTGAAAAAAAAATTTTCAGCAAATAGTGAGAATATGAGACATAATATGGAAAAAAAAAAATGAGACTTGATACCTACCTCACACCGTAAATACAAACTGATTTGAGATGAATCACAGACCTAAACATAAAAAAAAAAAATCTATCTTCCCAACCTTGGAGTAGAAAAAGATTTCTTAGACAAAACCCAGAAAGTATTAAATATAAAAGAAAAAATCACTACCTTGGACTTGATCAAAATTAAAAAACTTTGGCTCATCAAATGACACCATTAATAAAATAGATATGTATGCCACAGACTGGGAGAAAATATTCATAAATGCATATGAATGAGATAAAGGACTGGTGCCCAAAATATGTAAAAACTACTCCTATAAATTGATGTTAAAAAAACAACTCAAGTTTGAACAGACACTCCATGACAAAGATAAACAACTGGTGAATAAGCACGTGGAAAAGTGTTCAACATTATCATTCATCAAGTAAATGCAAATTAACACTCACTACTAAGTGACACAACTACACACCCAACACAGAGACAGCGTGATAAAGACTGACGCACATCACAGGTAAGTTAAGGACGGGAGCAACCCACACTCACACACTGCTGGTGGAAGCGGAGAATGGATCAACCACCTTGGCAAATGTTTGTCTGCTCCTATAGTTAAACACATTTATTTACCATCTGAGCCAGCAATTTACCTTGGGTATTTACCTGCAGGAGACCAAACATGTGCACACCGAGGCATGTATACAAATGCGCATGAAAGTTTTAATTTCGAGAGTCAAAATGGAAGACAACCCAGAGAGAATATATTAATACAAATTGTGGTATATTTCAAACCACTGACCTGCTCAACATGGAATGATCTCAGTAACACTGCACTGAGCAAAGTGAAATGAGCTAAAATGAGAACTGTATGGTTCCATTTATATAAAGTTCTAGAAATACAAAATTAAATCCATGGTCAAAATAATCAGCACAGTGATTGCCTAGGGAGAGACTGACTTGTGTGGTGGTGATGGGATTGTTCTGTCTTGTGATACAAGTAAAATCAGTTCATTTCACTGCACATATCAATAATAAACAATTTTTAAAATACTGTGTAAAGATACACTCATATTTGTTGACGGTTACTTTAAATGTAAATATTATGTCCCTGAAAATGTGTGGGAATAAGTGAACTCTGGTCTGGGTAATAAATCGTGAAGTATGATAAAAGATGGTCTCCTACGATGTCAAACAGCACAGTGTTACCCACAGAATTACAGTTTAATGAGTTGCAAGCAGCATTTTAAGGAAACAGAAATGGGATAAAAGCTATCAATGTGTCACATGGTAAAGTTAAGTCTTCTTTTGTGAAACTTAAGTATGAGTGTACTGAGTTATGATATAAAGCCTAATTTTTACTGTGGGCTGTGGTCAAAAAGGTTTGAAAACCATATCCAAATATGTTATTTTAAAAGTTTCTTCTATGTTATCAATTTAACCTTTAAGGAATATGCTGCCACCAGGTGGAAGCAGCATGCCACAACTACAAGATCTTAGCTGGGGGTTATTAACCTTCAAGCGACACGGACCTCCTGGATCGGTAGTGAAGCTGATGAAACCTGCTCATAATAATGTTTTTAATGCGTGGAGACACAATGCACGTGACTAAACAGAAAACCAATTATTCTGAAGTACAGTGACTCGTGTTTTTAAAATCTGTGATACAGCAATGGATATACTTGCTCAATAAAGCACTGGCTATTACTATACTTTGGTCACCTGACACAAAGAGCCGACTCATTGGAAAAAGACCCTGATGCTGGGAAAGACTAAGGGCAGGAGGAGAAGGGGACGACAGAGAATGAGATGGTTGGATGGTACCACCAACTCGATGGACATGGGTTTGAGTAAACTGGGAGTTGGTGAAGGACAGGGAGGCCTGGCGTGCTGCGGTTCATGGGGTTGCAAAGAGTCAGACATAACTGAGCGACTGAACAATAACAATCTATAAACGCAAAGCAGTGATGAAAACACATGATGTTTTCAGGTATCTGCCACAATTATAATACAATATGGAAAGAGCTGTGATTGCTAATGGTAACAAATACTGCTAATAATACTGTCTTCTGAAAACGTCATTCATAATAAAAACAAAATTTATTAGAACTTGGTCAAAACAAGGATGTGACTTTTCTCCCATGGAAGCTCAGTACCCTCTGAATTCTCTCCTGGGCTGTCGGGGCTCCAGAGATCCCAGAACAAGAGCCCCTCCAGAGAGCGGAGACGTGCCTCACACACAACTCTACCAGGTCTCCTGTGGGTGTTCCGCACAACTGCTCTGTCAAACTAAGTTCTCTGCTATCCCTTTGTCATTAGCAAGGATGATTTTCCAAATTAAAAAAAAAATAGTGATGTCTTTATACACAATGAAATATTTCACAGCCATTAAGAAGAATGACATAATGCCATTTGCAGCAACAGAGATGGACCTAGAGACTGCCATACTGAGTGAGGTGAGTCAGAGAAGGAGAAATATCATTTGACATCCTTTATATGTGGAGTCTAAAAAGAAATGATACAGATGAGCTCACAAAGCAGACACACACAGCCTTAGAGAAGGAAATTAAGCTCGCCAGGGTCAGGCAGGGAGGATGGGGGTGGGGGACAGTCAGGAAGTTTGGGACGGACATGTGCACACCGTGACGCTTAGAATGGTTAACCAACGAGGACCGACTGCACGGCACATGGAACTTCGCTCAATGTTACGTGGCAGCCTGGATGGAGAGGAGTGTGGGGGAGAGTGCAGATATGCATATGTCTGGCTGAGTGTCTCTGCTGCTTACCTGAAACTATCACAACATTCTTAATTGAGTATACCACAATACAAAATAAAACATTTAAAAAAATAGTGATGTTTCAACAACCTGAACTGATACTGTGTAGTATCTTTCTAAAAAGAACTGAATATTAAGGTCCAATTTGGGATTTTTTCATCATTTGTGCAGGCTTCCCTGATAGCCCAGATAGCAATGCAGGAGACCCCAGTTCAATCCCTGGGTTGGGAAGATCCCCAAGAGAAAGAAAAGTCTACCCACTCCAGTATTCTGGCCTGGAGAATTCCAAGGACCACATAGTCCATGGGGTCGCAAACAGCTGGACACGACAGAGCGACTTTCACTTTCACTTTTCATTTCATCATTTGTAGCTCTGATCACAAATAAGCTATGCATACATATACACTGCTATACAGACATACACACTGCTGTATTTAAAACAGATAACCAACAAGGACCTACTGCAAAGCACGGGGAACTCCGCTCAATATCCTGTAATAATCTAAATGGGAAAAGCATTTGAAAAAGAATAGGTACATATGTGTATAACTGGATCACTTTGCTGTACGCCTGAAACTAACAAAACATTGTTAATGTTGGAGTGCTAACTACACTCCAACATAAAATAAAAATAAAAAATAAGCTAGTATGTTTGCTTATAAGCAGCCTGACTGGAATGTCTTAAAAAAAAAAAAAAATCACTGACTCTCAGTCTGGTACTCAAACCTTCCTGAGCTTTCTGCCAGACCCTGCCTCCCTGCTCCTGCAGAGGAGTGCAGCCAGTCTTCTGAGTTTTCCAGTGAGAACTCTCTGCAGTCCCCACACTAAACACAGGTATTCTGCCTTTCTGAAGTCCCTGCTCTCAAAGCTTTGCTTCTTTTCTCCCATGAGTAAACAGCAGTGAAAAGGGAAAAAAGGAGGAAAACCCGCTCTGATGGCTGCCAGCAGCGAGGCCTCCGGCCCTCCCCTCCTCGCTTAGAGCCCTTCTCCTCTCTGCAGACGGGCTCACCAGCTCTTCCGCGTGGGGCACCAGTGGCTCTCAGGCCAGAGCTGCTCCCTGCACACAGGCCACGCTCTCTCTCTCAGCCCAGTGGCTGCAGAGAGAGAAAGCACTGCACCCCGGCTTGGGCTGGGAGTCACCCAGTCCAGGCCCAGTCCAGCTTCCTCTCTCCTCCGCCCAGAGGTTTCAGCCAAAATCCTGGGAGCCACCCCTCC